TTGTGCTGATTGAGAAATTCCGAAATACAGTAAGTTCTTGTTGCTGTTGCACAGTTTTTTTTTTTTAAACATTTTCCTAAATTACGTGGTGTCTGTAAGCTGCTATTGTTGTTATTATGATGATTAAAATCATTATTGTGATTATGATTATTGTCATTATTACTCTGTTTCATTACTATAATTACCCTGTTGCTGTTTTTTCGTCTTGATTTCCATTATTGTGATTTTGTTCGTGTTTTTTTGCAACTTTTATTATCATTATTCCATCATTACTATCTTTATTCCTAAGGATAACGTACTTAAAAACACTTTAAAATCAAACCTAGGCTAGGCTTGCTTTTGCGATCATTCATTTTTGCACTAAACTTGAAGCAATCAGGTCATTAACTGTGTGAGTGGTTGGTGCTCTTACATTTAAATCGCGCACTCATTTTCATGAATCACCGTAACTTTTTATTAAAGGGACCTGCTTTCTTAAAAACATTTTACAATCAAACCTAGGCTAGAACGCAACAGGCTTGCTTTTGCGATCATTCATTTTTGCACTAAACTTGAAGCAGTCAGGTCGTTAACTGTGTGGTGAGTGGTTGTAGCTCTTATATTTAAATCGCGCACTCATTTACGTAAATCACCGTTACTTTTGCTTAAAGGGAAATAATTTCTGTTGAGCGATCTTTCATTGAAAATAAACTGGCTGTTCTGTTTGCCGACTCGGACATTTTCCCGCGAAAACTTTCCACTTCTCCGTAGGCAAGGACGACGTCTACTTAGGTGCTGAGTTTAAAATCTATAAGTTATATGTGGGCAATGAAAATCTCTTTAAAAGTCCAGCTTTTTTAGTCCCCGAATTTACAATTCTGCCACCAAAAATTTCGCAGGCTCGTACGTGAGAATCACGCACATCTGGGAATTTCAAATCTTTGAGTTGCAGGTGAACAGAAAATATTTCATTAAAATTCCAACTCTACACCTTTCCGGTCCTCGAGTTAGTAGTTTTACTGCCAAAACTTTCACGAGCCTGCACACGAAACTCGGACGTAACTAATAGTTGGCACACGTCCCTAGGATCACATGTCGCCAGGGAACCCACTGACGAAATTTCAGCGTCAAAGCTTGCTTGGGTGCCGAGTTGAAATATCTGGACAGACACACACACACACGGATACACATACACACACTCACACGCACCATGGGTCGTCACAATATTCGTTCTTGCATCTAGACAAAAATATACAAAACCGAACGATGCCACATTTCGAGACTGTGTTTTTCGTTTGGATAAAAAAGGAATACAAATTCCAGGAGCGTAGTTTGGCGCCGCTGGATCGACCGTTAGAAATGCTACGAAAATGGGGGACGTATTCGTGCCACGTTACGTTTATGCTAAAACATTTGGACGATGGTATTTTGCCAGAAACTAGCGATGCAGCCAATGCTGTTAATGGGGTGTGGTATTATCAGTGCTTTCCAGTCTATCGTTCTTCGTTTTGCTGCTTTCTACTGTTGTCTTTCTCGAAAGGAAGCGTTAAATTTATCACATTCCGAGGATGCATTTTTGATTGACTGTTAGGAATATTGGTCGGCAACGGCAGTGGAAACATCTCAGCTATCCCACAGTGAAACGACAGCTGATCAAAGCATCAAATAAAGCGTAGCGTACAAAACGAGGGGTGAAAAAATGAAGGAAAATAAATGAGTGAAATAGTAATGCGACAGAAGAAGCCACTAATTTAGACACTGAGACCCACTCGGGGATGAATTATAGGGATAAGAGAATAGAGGTGGTAACTCTGTTGATCTCCCAAATTTCGTCAATTTTACAGATTTTTCTGAATTCTCTACCAACCTCAGACTGGATAGTTTGCCTGGATGATAATCTCTAGAATTGACCGGGAGACATAAGCATTTAGCACCAGACAGCTTGGATTTTTGTTTTGGCGTGGTGTTTTTTGTTCCGCTGGACCCGTCTCTGCCGCATTCTCCCCAGCCCTTCTCTTTTCCGTCGGCTTTTCTAATCCTTTCCAAATGTCCCTCGAATGTATGTTGTTTGCGAAGTACCTGTATTCTTTTGCTCTGGGCTTACTGAAATTCGAATTGCTCGAAATAGGGATTTTTTGCTAGCATGCAATTACCAGCTGCGTATCAGTTTGCTAACCTGAGCAATAGTCATTGTTTCTTCTTCAGCTGTGAATGCTATTCTTTCAAAGCCTTTGTTTCAGCCAAGTTTTCGGTCAGAAGGGCCACCTTTCGCAGCAGTTTATTCGCATTCAAACGAGAGCGAAGGCCCAAGTGGGGAATGCCTACACGCAGCATCAGCGACAGCAACTTCCTCTGTTGTTAATGTTCCTCCACTCACCGGCAAGTTTTCCAGTCTTATCGTAAGCGGATTCGGGACAGGCCCATGAGGGGAGTGGGGAGTGGGAAAAAGAGTCCCCTCCCATCCTGGAACTGTGCAAAAACTAGGAATAAAGTTGAAACATTGCTTCTTAGAGTTACTTTAGGTTTTAGTTCTAGACTTGAACTTTTGCAGCACTGGCGGCTGTGACGCTAGGAGGAGGGAGAGCGAATGGCCCCTCCCCTCTCACCCTGAATTCGCCTATGAGTTTTATAATCTTTCAGTGTATGCAAAGAATTACGTTGATTTATGTTTCGTTTCAGATCAGCCATCGCTGTGCCCTCCTTTGCAGAAGTTTAGCCCACAAAGAGGGCGAATTAGAAACCGCGCACCGCCGCCCGGTATGTTAGCTCCAGAAATGGTCCTCAGTATCTTTTTTCAAACACCACCGAATACTTTGAAAGCCACATGAGCCTATCCCTTTACTTCTTGTCCTTGTTCGGAGCATCGGCTAAAGGGGAGGAAGAGGAAGGGGGCAGAGCGAAGGGGCGGTGAATTTGCTGGCAAAGCATCCAAAAGCTTTCGAGGAAGACGAAAGGTTGTATTTAGTGCCTTTTTTTTTCTTTTCAGTTGCAACGTGCAAGCTTTTTTCAATTTTCTGATCAGCTTTTAGCAATTCAGAGGCTCTTTCAACAACTACGCTTTTAATCTTGGGGGTGGCTGGAGAGGGGAATAGGTAAAAAAAGAAGGCACATCAGGCTTCAGGAAAATAAGCTTACCCGAGAAGTCAACCTTCAGGAAAATAGTACTCGTAATGCTTTATTTGGGTACTTGTAACAAATGACGGAGTCCCTTCGAAAATTTTTTGCGAGTTCCTGGGCTTGGCTTACAGGTCGTTAAATATGTATTCATTTTAAACTTAAGAAATCTGCGAAGTTTATCAGTGCAATTTTTGTGAAGCTATAGTGTCGTTTTAAGTCTACAAAATAGCATGAAAATATCCCTGTGTGAAAATGTAGGTACCACTTCATCTCCAATTCTGCAAGCTTTCTGGGGTCGCTTTGCTCAATATCCAAAATCCTAATTTTTCAAAAAAAAAAAAAAAACGGTGATTTATCAAAAAGCAGCAGTTTCGTTGCGCTTATAAAAGCCGCAGCTGGTAACGTCGTGTTCTGTTTTCAGTTTTACCAGCATGGAAGGCGATATTTCATTTTCATTGCAGCATATCACGAGGTGATCAAGCAGCGATACACTTCAACGCTTTCCCGAGAGGATACATCATCTGGATCATTAACATCACTACAGTCCGTGAGAAATGAGATGGCCGATCGATGGCGATGCCCACTGAGGTTATTCAGTTTAGCTATGTTCTCAATGTGTAACAAAATAATTTCTGCTGCTAAATTCTGAAACTCATAAAATTGATGGAAGTTTTCCCTCTGATCACGGTTAGGAGTATTTTCTGTTTGTTGCCCGATGAATTAATTACTCGAAGAGGTCAATTTTGGTTGAGATGCATTCACTTCATGCTCCACTCTTCTTACATTGCTTATACCCAGCATCTCTA